TATGCAAGTATATGTGAAAGAAATAGCAGAACAAAACTTATTTTTTAAACTAATTGTGAACTCTATAACTAATGTGTTCGCGGATTTTCCGCGGCAATGAGCATTTGGGAAATATACATAAAAAAAGGGGGGGATCGAAGCATGCTGAGCCGTATCCGAGTGCGAGTTCGATCATGAACGCTCGTTATTTTTGAGAAGTGGCGCGCACAAGTGGCCATGGATTTTTGCGCTGTAGGGTTGTTTGCAAATCCTTGTCCTCCGATTGGCGCGGCCCTAGCAGCATTTGTTTATTGTAAAGCGACCGCATTGGTGCGGCTCTAGCATCGACTGATTTCAAAGTTATTGCATTGGTGCGGCTCTGGCAGCGATTTTTAGTATAAAAATCGGCACCTCGAGCCGATCAAAGACACTTCTTTCTTTGGCTCCACGGTGTGGAGATCGATACAAAATAGCAATAGTTGCGGTCTAAGGGTGACCCCTTGCAGTTCTTATGTTGTGAATCAGACTGGTGATCCAGGAGCAAACAGGTAAGGGTTGACTCCTGGTGAGTACCCGAAACAGTGAGTCGTGCGAGTGGTCCGCGAATAGACGGGAAAGTACAAGGGTACTGTTTCCAGCTCACGGTGCGGCGATCTCGGCGACGGCCCTGGCCAACCGTGCAGCATCCGGCCTTGTTGTAATACGGGCCTACTTCCAGAAGGGGATTGAGGTACTCCTGAAGTTGAGGGACCAATGGGCAGTAGCGTAATTAATTTGAGGTAAGAGAGCTCTCTAGGCCTAGCTTAGAACCTGTCTATTTATTGTAAATTGCTGTAACGGTCAATTAGCCGATCCTTAGATCCAATAGAGACAACATAGCTTGCTTCAGCTTTTCCTCCTACTTCGAGGGGGTTTTTACGCCTAAGCAAGTTTCTTTTCTTATCGGGAAAACCTTGTGTCTGATTCCTTTGATTCCGATCCTTCATTCCTTCGAATTCCCCTTCCTAATCTTAAATAGCTTAATAAAGCTACCTAATCTTAATAAAGGTAAGTAGAAACGTGTAAGGTAGTTCCAAACAACCAGGGAATTTACACATAGTTGGGAAACAAAGTGTAACAATGGTAGTAACATGTAACGTCCGGTAGGTATCGTTTAGACGTTGCACAAAAGTAGCTCTTGGTCTATTATAAGTTCTTTCAATTTCACGTTTCACCTGTATTTCTTGCAGTTGCCTCAGCTCAAGTTGAGTCACACAGTAGGCGCGTGCCTCTGCTCAGTTTCGGGTGTTACTCGAAGTTGTTAGACAATGGATGAGAGATCGAGTTATTCAAATCAGAGGTGTGCAGTGCTACTATTTTGGGGACAGGAGCTGGTAGGCTGGACTTCCTGGCGGTTACAGGGACGATTAAATGTAAGTGTTCGTCATTCATGGAGTTCACCACCCTCTGCCTTCTGTACGCAGAGCTGCCTGTTTACCCGATTTTATTATTAAAAGTCGAATTCCCACAACTGAAACGATTGGCAATGGTACATGCAAAAGCACTAAAACGCAGGAAATTAATCAAATACCTTTCTGTTTTAGATTCTGATTGAAGCACACATGGCTGGTACGAAGTTTCGTCTAATTATGGAAATTCTAATTAAAATATCTTGGCCAGAAGTGTTATTCGAAGTTGATATACTGAAGAACAGTCATTAGAAGAAGAAGTGAAATATATTGAGAGTAAATCTACGAACAGAGTCTGTGATTTCTGGAGTATCGATAAATCCCTCCACTACAATATTGGTTATTCTCCCTACAGGAATGGCTGAGGTACAGGTAATGGTTCTACTGGTATCCACATGACAT